CAATGTATCTGTAGGTGTTGTTAAATCTATATAAGTCTTCCGAATTCCTATTGGCTACCATCCTTCTAACATACTCATATTCCATATAAGCTAAAGTTAAGTCTGCCATTTGTGGACTACATGATGTAATGCTTCACCATTCAAAAAACTCATAAATTATTTTGCGTAGATTGGGGAAGTAGTAAAATTCCATAAGTAGTAAAATTCCACGAAGATTTGGCCATCTTCATTGTGATTGGGAAAATATAAATGGAAAAGACATTATCTGACAAAGCAGAACATCGATTTCAATCTGAATGATAATTAAGCTTCACTTTAAGATTTACAAATTACTAGATGGCTTACCCGGCTCCGCCCGGCCCTGTCATTATTTTATTCGTAATCAGCATGGATTACCCCCCTGTACCAACTCCCAGCCTTTTTTGCAAAATTTGAGCTACTCCCCGTAGCTCAAATTTTGCAAAAAATCGATAAAATCGATATCGATCGATGACGAAAAGTAGCCTATGACACCCGCCTGGGCCCGAAGTGTATGTGTGCCAAGTTTGGTCCGGATCGGTCAGAAATGGAATTTACTATTCGGAAAATACGTACAGACATACAGACATACAGACAGACAGACAGACAAACAGACATTCAACTTTATATATAAGATTGACGGTCACCTTTGGTAAAGATATGGATTTTGTCGAATGTGTGAAACTTCAGTGGGGCTTCGGAAGCAGAAATTTTGAGCCAAGGGGTACGTGCAACATTTCTGGCACGCATACACACCTCCAATAATGTCTGGGTTTCTGCAAGTTTCTTGTTTGAATTTTCAAGCATACTTATGGCCAGCAAATTCGGTCCCCGTATGCGACATTATTGTTTGAAGGGAGAAATAACGGTATGTTTGAAGCGTAAAATATGTTTTCGACTAAAAGGCTTACTTCCTATCTTTTGCACAGATTTTCGTGCGAAAAAAACTGTTTTAGCGCCATCTAGAAGGATGTCAAAACGTGCATGAGCACGGTACTTTGAAAATTCGTAAGTAAAAGCAGGAAAAGACTGAGAAGCTGCAATGAGCAGGCTTTATAGTGTAGTGCCCATACTATCCATGAAAAGGGTTTGAGCCATTGAGGAGCAGTCTCGAAAAATCTAGATGCGACTCTCGCAAATTTAGATGCGATCCTAAAAAACAAAAAGTGGGATTTTTGAGCTTGAAATTTCGTATCTCACCAAAGAAGGTATGAAACAGCCTGAAATTCTTATGATAAAAAGTAGAGGGACGGCTCCGTATTACCAAGTTTGCAGCTAACAAGCTTCCATAGCTCCGGAGAATTTTAGATGCGGCGCAGATACGACCCCCCTTTCTCATTTTTTACTACCATACATAAAATCATAAGAAAATCCACAATTGACGAAATAACACCAAATTTTGCACTGATATAGCAGAGCATCACCAAAGTACAGATAAATCATATGGACCCGTGAAAAAGATTACATTACAAAAAGATTTAGAAATTCATGATGGTCACAGCTGGTAAAGATATTTGCTTTTGTCGAGTGTGTGAGACTTGAGGAAGGCTTAAGCAAGGTTTTTAGGTCAATCAGTTCATTTAGCATCTTTATCAAATCATACATCCTTCAAAAGTGTTTTGAGTTCTTGTAAATGTTTTTTTTTGAGAATTTCTACCAATTCTTTATCTTTTTTATTCTGATTTCCACTTTTTTATAGATTTGTTGTGAAGAACATAACTAATTATCTGCTTTTTGCTAACTACCTCTCCTACGACCCTCCCCCCCCCCCCCATTAGGTACCCTCTTTACGACCCCCCGTTGCGACAGTCGTATCACAAGCTTGGCCCTGGTTGGGAGACCGAAAGAAGGAAAACTTGTCAACAACGAATTGAAGATGTTGAACACGTCTGAAAAGATATGTTGCACATCGACGCCAATCTGATTTTTGACGCGTCCTTTGTATTTTCACCACCGCTTTGTCGCTCCTGTATCCTGCGACGTTGTATGGATTACTCTGCTCTTCATTCTGAGCAAGTATCGTCCAAGTTGAACAAAATTCGTTGCGAAAGCAATAAAAGAGAACGATATGAAGAAAAGCGCATTTTTTCACTAATTTTCACTAAAAAATTGGCTTAAGCAAAGAAGTAAGCTCAGCGACGCTGTCTACATCATAGACAAAAACGAGACCTATCGAATGCACAAAAAACCAAGTGAAAAGAGTTTAAAAAAAAGCAAGAATTTGTCGAAAAGGCCGTTTTCTCCAGATTTCTCGTTCAAATTATAAAAAGGAGTCTTGCGACATTGTCAGCGTGAAAGTAGAGATCAAGAGCTTTGATATGATATATAGATTGTCGTAATTGGGCTCCGAACAGCGAAGGAAATGGTACCAGAGCCAAATGCCCCGCGCCCGCGTTTGGGGTAGCGAGGTAGCGCGAAACGCGCGGAGACGCAGACGAGCAGCGGAGACAGACCAGAGCAGGCGGGGCATTTGGCTCTGGTCATTGATCCCATAGCGAAACCCTATAACATTATATATCGTTGTGATTCTCATGAGACGGTTAGGAGCACTGACAACGTCGCGAGTCTTGAAAATTACCCCATAACGAGAAAGACCTAAACTTTTATGTGGCGACTCTCTGCGCAAAATTTGAGCGCAGTTTCTTGTTTTTATTGAACTCCAGCGGCTTTCGTGAACTTCCAACGCTCAATCGTAGTCTAGAGAAAGGTCAATTGAGAAATTTTGTTCTGAAATTTTCTATTTTTTTGAATAAAAACCTTCTTCTCAGCTAAAAAGGCCATAAAACGCAATCCTTCGGTTTTTGAGCTTCTTTTGGATGTCACTACTATATTTGCGTCCACATTCATCTCTATAAAATTATGTCATTAGTTATGTCATAATATCCGGGGCTTCGCCCCTGATGACTTCTGTACTTCTCTCCAGGTGAAGGTTGCTCTATCATGACTCTCAAAGTGTAGGTTACCAGAGTACATGGCTGTATGTATCGAAGGTATGTGCAGGGCTCCCAATTTTACGTTTGGGGTAACCTGAAGTGAGACCGATACGAGCAACTAAGAAGTACTGCTTTGTATTAAACACAAAAAGAAGCTAACTCACCCTTAGGGCAACTCAATCAATTTTGCAAATATCCATCTCAGTTAGATGGCCCAGCATTTGACGACCTTACAGTTTTAAACTTGGTTCAAAGGATATCTTTGACGTGCTAGCTACGAATAGAGTCAAGAGTGTGTGTTGCATACCACACCTGGGCGGCAAGTATCAATTTCCTGTTTTGTGTTTGGGCAATCACTTACTATTGATAATGATCGCCCGCCCGGCCGGAATGGGCGCCCGCGTGATGTAGAATTGCGGGCTCCCAACACGGACGAGAGCATCACTCGTCTCGCGAGGTGGGTTCTGCTTGCCTTTTCTCAGCAGACGTGCTCCAATCTCGTTCTGCATTTCAGCATTTTTTGACATTACACGCATACAAAAATATGAACACGAGGTAAAGAACCAGATCGACTGCCTTTTGGAAATGTTGAAAAAATTAGGCAATTTCAGAAAAAGTGTTTATAAGGGATAATCTTGGAAAGAAAGCGTAAAACGGAAAGATAACTTTTTAGACTTTCGCAACAACAATTGATCGACTTTACTTTAGGTGTTTTCTTTCTATTGTGCCACGAAGCCACAGAAACAGAGATCCATCTTCGGTAAATCTCATAGGATGCCATGCTGTGCGGCTATGAGTACGCTATTTGGCTCGCAGATTCAGGAAGAGGGCACACGTGGCGGCTTGCTTATATGCGGCACTCATAGCAAGGGAGAGAGCCTGTTTAACACGAAGGCCAAACAAGTTCTTAAAGATCCCATAGGCTGCGTAAAGTCTCGCATAAAATTCGCCAGCAAAAATGCGTAAATGCTGGTTATGAGCTGCGGTTTATGTGTGGAAATGTCAACTTTTTGGTAGAGCATGGAAGTTAGAAGCAATTCACTGAGGGATCGGTCAGACTTTGCCAGTGTTGCCACTATTGAGAAGGTTGCCGGTGTAAACAGTTGAAAGTGTTGCAGTTGTTAAAAATATGGAGCGTGGAATTCATTAGTGCAGTCTCATTCTTCCTCAATCCATCCTGAAGGTTGATGAGATCGGAAGAAAGAATGGGACTTACAGGGGAAGGTACCTAAAAGGCAATCCGAGGATCCGAAAGCGTTTATGTTCTTGTCTAATCCCCATTATTTTCTTCCTCAACCAGCAGGATAGTCTGAGGAAGAATGAGATGCAAGACAGTGAATTCCACGTTCCCCATTTTTCACCGGCTACACTGGCAAAGTCTGAGTCTGACCGGTCCCCGGTGCCAGTGTAGCCGGTGCCAGTGTAGCCGGTCAAACATCATTGAATGCATCATCTAGAGGTATATTTAACAAAATTTTTATTGTAAAACTCATGAAGAAAGGCGCAACAAGTCTCAAGGCTCAAAGAATTAAACAGCACAAACTATTCGTTAGATCACCAAGAAATTTCCAACACATACGAACACTTCTTATTTTGAAAAAGAGGAAAAAACATGCGCGAATTGAGTTGAATGCAAGGAGACGCGCAACGGCGCTCTCTCAGAATATGCCAGCATGCGTCAACGCGCATCCTATTGATCCCAAACTAGGCACACCGGGCTCTTACCCGAGTAACATCCCAAAATGCATCGCGGGTGCGGGCGATCGTACAAGGTCGGGTAACGACGCGGACAAGAACCCTATCCGAGCTAAAGGGCAGACACGAATTGTCCTAAATGATAACTGCCAGTCATTATAGAGTTCTTAAATGATCTGTATTTTCGAAAAATTTCTGTACTAAAGTATTTCAACTTGAAAAGTATTGATTAGAAGGGCTGTAGCTAAGATTACCTCCGATAGCTTTTGAGCAAAGTGTTTCATTATGAAAAACTTGGCTATCTAACCTTGACTTTGAGTTTTTGAAACTAACGATATTCAAATTTATTAGTAATCAATACATAGTGGTCGATGAAGATTTAGTAAACGAAGATATGTTTAGCGATTTACAGTATATAAGCTCATCATCCATTATCTGCACCTTCGTCTCATTGATGTTCACTATCCAGCTCCCGTTTACACAGAGCAGCAACATGTTGTCCTCCGAGTAGGCTTGAAAAGGGTCTTGCATATTATCCTGAATTTTTTGATGTCATTATGATGCAGTACCATGAGAATGTTCAATTTTTTATTCAGGCAATCTCTAAAACTCAAAACAAGTGATGGGCCCGACAAAGCGTTCTATGTAGATAAAAACCAAAAGTCTTTAACGTTCCAAGAAAAGAAAAGTCAGAATTCTTATAAGTCTTTGCGTACAGATCGAAATTTTGCACTCCCGTATGTTTAAGAGAAAGGCCACACTTTCTGCGGCAGGGATTTAGAAAATGCGCATTCATGATTTTTTGTTAAAAATAAATGCGCAAATTATTTTTTAGAACTAAAAGTAGGGGCATCGAGCTCATGATGTCAAAAACTTGAAGTGTGAAGGATTACAGCAAGTGACTTCTTGTCTTCGTATTCTTCTTTTGTACAATTGACTACACCGGGTGTCCCAGAATTTTCCCTACTGTTTGGTTTTCAACACCTTGTCATAAAACCTTTGGAGAAGCTTTAGGTACCATCTGGTAAAGCTATCTGTGGTTAACTGTATGGAGCAAATTTTTGGTCTCTCCGTTACGTAGATTACGGCAGGGACTTCCGGATGCAGCGCCGTTGTAAAATGAGCCTTTGATTGATAAAGTTGCGTAGCACTGTTTTACTCAGTTTTTTGAAAGATTCTCGAGCCTTTGTAATGCTGTAATCACATTTTGGAAGAACATTGGGAAAAAGGTGTTTTGGTTTACCTGTAATCTTTCGGAAGAAGCATCACTGTGATCAAAAGATTCATATTTGAAATCTGTGACTCTGATTAGCCTTGTATGAAAGTTTTAAGCTTGGCGGCGGTTTTTTGGCGGTTTTCCTGAGCAAAATGAGACTTCTACAGTAAGAATAAGTTACGGTGATTTGCTCCATGCTGTGAATCTAATTGTAGTTGAAGAGTTTCACAAGAAAGCTACTTAAAGCTTTTCCATAATCATGACAAGAGATTTTTTTTATTAGGAACTAGCTGGCTTACCCGGCTCCGCCGTATCCGGACCAAACTTGGCACACATACACCTCGGGCCCCGGCGGGTGTCACAGTCCACTTTTCGTTATCGATCGATGTCGATTTTACCGATTTTTATCGATTTTTTTGCAGAGTTCACCTACAGGGCTAGGAGTTGGCACAGGGGGGAAGTGAGCATGGGGATTCCGAATACAATATTAGTTTTCAGAATTATCGATTACTTTTATTGGTTTTATCGATTTTTTGTAAATTTTGACATGCGAGGCTGGGATTTTGCACAGGGGGTAATCGAGCATGCTGATTACGAACACAATATTAGTTTTCAGGATCGTCCATTACTTTTATCGATTTTATCGATTTTTTTTGTAAAGTTTGACCTGCGGGGCTGGGAGTTTGCACAGGGGGTAATCGAGCATGCAGATTACGAACACAATATTAGTTTTCAGGATCGTCCATTACTTTTATCGATTTTATCGATTTTTTTTGTAAAGTTTGACCTGCGGGGCTGGGAGTTTGCACAGGGGGTAATCGAGCATGCTGATTACGAACACAATATTAGTTTTCAGGATCGTCCATTACTTTTATCGATTTTATCGATTTTTTTTGTAAAGTTTGACCTGCGGGGCTGGGAGTTTGCACAGGGGGTAATCGAGCATGCAGATTACGAACACAATATTAGTTTTCAGGATCGTCCATTACTTTTATCGATTTTATCGGTAATCGATAATCCTGAAAACCAATATTGTATTCGGAATCCCCATGCTCGATTACCCCCCTGTGCCAACTCCCAGCCCCGTAGCTCAAACTTTGCAAAAAAATCGATAAAAATCGATAAAATCGATATCGATCGATGACGAAAAGTAGCCTATGACACCCGCCGGGGCCCGAAGTGTATGTGTGCCAAGTTTGGTCCGGATCGGTTCAGAAATGGAATTTTCTATTCGGAACATACGTACATACATACAGACATACAGACATACATACAGACATACATACAGACAAACAGACATTCAGCTTTATATATAAGATAGCTTTGTCTGCAGCAAACTCGATTAACTCAAATATGGATTTCGTAATCGAGCTTTCGAATTTTATGCGAGTACTCGTTTTTGATTATTCAAGTTTCGAACCTTATTCGAAGCTTCATTTTGATTATTCGAGTATATCGTTTTTTATTCGAAACCCCATTTTTGAATTGATCGATTTCAAAATATAATCGAAAGTGGAAAAACTCCGAATATCGGAGTCTCAGATGCGAATTCGCATATCTTATTCGAAGGTACGAGTTTTTATTCGATTCGGGTATTTGACTAAGCGTCGCGTTACTCAGAATATTCATAATCTTAAGCATATTTCGTGCAGATTTCCTCTTTGAGTAGGTATTTTCTCCATTGGCGACAGCAGACTTTTAAGTATAATTATTCCAAAAAAATTGTTATAGACTTCCCACGTAGATAGGGTAAGCAGATAGAGCAAACTTGATAAATTTCCCTCTTTTAAAGTTTGTAGCCACTCATTGTCAAGTTTCTGGAAAGCGACTTGGAGTAGTATTTTTTAATCTTCCATATGGGAAGGGGTTCCTGTAAAGGTCGCAGCCCGTACAGAGACGGGCAATGGTGCTTGCGATACACGAAGCCAAGCTGTTGACCGGGCTCTGTCTGTTCAAAATAGAAACGGACTTACCTACTCGAGAGACCTGTCGCAATATGAAAGGTCACGAGGTAGCAACGCTAATTAGCTCTGTATACAGAACTGATTTCTTTATACAGTAAGATTTCTTACAACATCATGAAGTCGAATTTAGCTGTAATTTGGAACTGAAACCACAATATCGATGTGCCCGGTTAAGGTGAAAGGCGGTAAACTGCGAGTTTTCTAATTTGTTATTCCTGAATATTAGCAGATTTGTTCAATACGCCAAATCTGCAACTTCTTGATGTAGTTTTTGCAATGAACTTCATTTTATTAGAAAAACTGGAAAAGAAACGACAATCTGCTTCGGTTAAGAAAGTTGGAAATTGGCTGCATACGAATTCTTTTGAAGTATTGCATTCCGGAATTTTCAAAAAAAAAACAACAAAAAAAACACTAATAGTCTAAAGCTTCTAATGACTCCGGATCGGCCAGCTTTGCATAGGTGCTAATAGTGTTGCTGTCTACTCATGCCACTGAAGGTACGTTGCGACAAGTCTTTTGGGTGGGTAAGTTCCTTCCGTTTGAAGATATTGTCCGATTGGCAAATTTGGCTGCGTCGGGCACGGCAGTAGGCAGCAGAACCCAATCTCGACAGATCGAGCTCTGCTTTTCGTTTGGGCCACGCGCCTCAAACTTTCATAAATCATGGGATGGCGTTCTCGCTTGTCCGGGCACTCGCTAGTTATGGCCGGAAAGAGAATGGGAGTTTGAAAAATACCGCCCTTGGTTTTTTAGCGCCAATTCACTCTTGCATCCGATACCTCCCAAACGCCAGCTTACGAGAAAAGTTTCTTTCTTGGTTGTGGCCGCTTGGCTTGAGAAATATATTATCTAGGGCACCTGTAAACGCTGAAAAGCGCTCCATCTTTGAAAAAGGCTTATCTATAAAGAGTTATTAAAGCCTAATTTTGATTTTGCCCCATTCTCAAGCACTAGCGGTTGCCAATTTGTGTTGGTGCTACTGTGTGGTTAGGGCTTCATACCGCGCCGGCAGCCGCCGCTAGCAGTCCACAGCAGCCCGTAGCAGTCCGCAGCAGCCGCCAGCAGCCCGTAGCTGCCGCTGACCGCTTTTATTCATGGAAGCAAAAAATCGTCAGATTCTTACTAGTTTTACTACATCTGCCTAAGCTTCTCATCTCCCATGCTTTTTCCTTCCTTTTGCCGCCAGTATGCGGTTCCATCTCATATATCGTACTTGTGTCCATTGTTGTTTCTTGTTGACTGGTTATCCTAATGGTGCTCAGTTTCCCTCTTGCGGTGGATTCATAATTCGCCAAAGTTTTTGCGGTGTAATTCCTTTGACTTTGGATGCGTCCAGCTTATGTAGGTGTGCTATTTGTTTATCTTTTAGGTATGGTGTTCTGCTTCGATCTTCTCCTTGGATATCGCTTTATCTTAAATATCTCTGTAATGTGTACGAGTTGAACTCATTTGAGCAATAGGAGGAAAAAAGCGCGGGAGATGGAAAGCGCAGGCGTGTGCACCAAGGACGGTACGTCATTTTGAAAGGAAATGAAAAACCGCAAGGAATGCAATCGAGAGCGTCTTTGCATATTTACAACGGAAATCACATTTGGTCAAATGATTTGAAATTACTTAAAAACGACCTGACACAAGTCATTTTGTGACAAAATTGAATTTCGGTTTTCTTCTCGCTGTTCTACCATATGAGTTTATACCCGAAAATGAGTAGAAAATAAATACCTTTTGAGTTTTCAGCATTATGAGAAAAGCTGCTCATACTGCCGTGCGCTAGAAACTTTCTTTTTGGAAAGAATTTCTGACCACAGAACCAGCAAATTCTTCCCTCTCTCTCTTTCACAGAGCGCAAAGCTTTCACTAAATCAATAATTGACTCCTAATTTCATTCATTGATCAGTTTTCTAAGAGCAAAGAAATAGAAATTAAAGGCAAACGACTTAATCAAAATTAAGAATCAATAACGCTACTTTAATCTTAACGGTTAATGTCTATTTCCCCCAAATGTTTTTTAACTATGCAAAGGAAAAGGTTTACTAAAGGTAAGCGACCTTAGCATCTGATCATGTATAAATAACTACAAACCTCTTTTCTTTTTGAGACAACAACGTTGCCGTCCATTCCGCAATTCAATCTCGAAGTGCAATTAGGGAACAGATCATCAAGTACATCACATGCAGGGCATATTTGTTTCAAGGAAGGACACGAGCTGGCACATTTCAAATATTTCTCCTTATGTTCTTCTTAACGTCTTGCATAAAATTATCGATAATTTTTCAAACTTTGATTTTCTACCTTTGCTAAGGCAAAGCATGCCTTGCACTTCATGAGAATGTTTGCCATCGTCATAAATCCAAACTTCATCGCAGTAAATATCTTGCGGGTAGACAACCATACTCGAACCCGATTTCAGTTGCACCCTGAAGGAAAAACTTTCGTTTCTATTGTGGTGAGGATACACGATGAAGACTTACGCTAAAGATGAATGTGGACATTCCACAACCAAATCCTCGCAGCCATATGCGTCTTTTAAAGACTTCAAAAAAGGAGCTGAGCAATTGCTTTCGGACGGGCAAAGATCAAATTCAGTGTAGTTCTTAAGTGACGAGCATGAATGGCAGCTGGATTGAATCTTAGCTTCCCGGGCTTTCCCTTAAAAAATCAAGAAAAGCGCTAACTCCTTAGTGATTTGGTTCGAATTCGCCATCCGCTATCAGTAACAATGGAACTAACTTACTTGCAATTGATGCGTCGTTATGTGGGATTTCAACCTGATAACACACGACGTGACGCAATACTTTGTCATATGCTCCCTGGCTATAATGACGCCATTCGCCATTGACACACTGGATATCCGCGAGCTCACGAAAGTCACGCACCCTTACTAAAATTGCGCAAGTTTTTATTAGCACAAATTTGAAATTCAACTCAAGTAAATTCAACTCAAGCTTCAACTGAAGCTAAGGATAGGCACCCTCAGAAAAGTTTCTTCTTTTGTTAGATACAATTTTCTTCACATTGTACTTTCTTATCTCATTTTTTTTGTATTTGAGTCAAGCAAGTTTAGAAGTTATGGTACGATTTGCATGTCTTAGGCTGCGTTCATACTGATCCGAAAGCCCGGTAACAGTTTCAGCACTGCTCTCGAAATGAGCGCTGTGCTGAAACTGTTTCCGAACTTCGGGTTCAGTATGAACGCAGCCTTAATGTGAGAATGTCTTATATCGTAAATCATAGTTACAGAACAATTCCCACACATAATGTTTGTTCCTTCAGAAAATTGCATGGATTAATTCAAGAATATCAGTAGAACAATGTGTTTTAAGGCCGAAGTATACAAAAATTCTTCAGCTCACTTTTTCTTTTTCAATTCCAGTAAACTTTTTTCAAATTATAACACGCATTTGTAGAAAGCATAGCAAAAAAAAATCGAAGTGTTTTCTATGTTTTTTACAAGCAGCTTTGACCGTCTTGGCTTACAACGATTATATGTGGTTTGTTATCTTTGCGCTTTGACGAGATATAACATGAGTGCATGAAGTACAATAGGTTGATGCAAAATGCCCTTCTGTCGTATTTGAAAGGTTAACGATAACTGTTTTCTGCCTTATTACGAGCTCCATTCAATTATGGCATTACTTCCATTTGCTTTTGTGATTGTCTTTTATACTCTAAAAAACCACGCTGCTACTCGGGTGTAATAGATGGTAGAACATTGTCATACAAGCTAAGATTTCCATTATCTCGTGTGATCACTTGGGGATTCTGGGGGGGGGGGGGGAGTCACACCTTGTTTTTAAAGTCGTTTATCTTAAGTAGATGAAAACGTAGTAAAGTTGTCCAGAGGACCTACTACACTGCTAAGGAAGTTTTCGGCAAAACATATGGATTGTGCAGGTAGTGATTTTTTTCGACGAAAGTCTGCTGGCGAATAGCGGTTTCGAGAATTTCGATGTCCTGAGATTTCTTTAATTTCTACTATAAGCATGTCAACAGTGCCATAACACAGGGTGTCCCAAAAGTATGTATACACTGTTTGATGGTTAATAACTGTCTTGCTTTGATACCTTTTGGCAAACTTTAGGTACCATTTTGTAGAGCAAGGTTCAACTTAGATTTACAGCATGAAGCGTGTCACCACCTTTTTTCATTACTGCAGGATTACGTTAGGAACTTCAAAAAGAAACTCGAGCTAGTAAGGTCCCTATTTCGCCTCGTAAAGCAAACCAAACAATCTGAAACCTCTTGAACCACGTTAATTAGAGTCGCTAGAACCATAAATGAACATTGTATTTTATCACAATGCTTCCTTAATAACTCATGCCAGGTAAATCGCACTGTCTAAACAGTGTTTTCTCAGACTGCGATTACAGCATCTGAAAAGTCTTACAAACTCCCAAAAAGTTGACTAATGAAATTAGCGCGCACAAAATCTTTCATGCACTTTTCAGATTCTTTGGAAATTTTTTTTTTGAAAGACGATTAACCCACAGTGACGCCACAAGCCAAAAGTCCTACCGTAATCCTACAGTAATGAAGAGAGATGGTGGTTCGCTCAATACTGCAAATCTAATTTGAAGCCAGCTCTACAAAATGCTACCTAGGGACAGGCAAAATACTTCTTGGGAAGAGAGATATTGACGACCAAACAGTGTATACATAGCTTTGGGACACCCTGTAAATCTACAATTTTGCTGCTTTTCATTAAGTTTATGAAAAAAATGGCTTTGAAAAGTGAGGCAATCCCCTGAGGATCCCCTAAGGATCACACAAGCAGTGGAATTCTTAGCTTATATGGTGGTGCCCTGTCATCCATTTTACTCAGATATCAGGGCATGAAAACCTTCACAAAAAAATAGAGAGTAATATAAATGACCAGAGTAGCGAAATATGACGCGTCCTTTCCCAGGTCCCTCGCCTTATTCCGGGGATGTACATGCATACGGGCCTAAGTCTCAAAATATCCTCTTTTCGCTTTTTTGACTTTGAATTTATGAAAAACTAGCTGGCTTGCCCGGCTCCGCCGGGCCTGCCAGCTAGACCCGTGTACGTATGTTCCGAATAGAAATTTTTATCTCTGAACCGATTGGGACCGAACTTTGCACACATACACTTCGGGGCAGGGAGCGTGTCACAGCCCACTTTTCGTGCATGCTCGATTACCCCCCTCTGCCAAATCCCAGCCCTCTAGCTCGAATTTTGCAAAAAATCAATAAAATCGATATCGATCGATAACGAAAAGTAGCCTATGACACGCTCCCTGCCCTGAAGTATATGTGTGCCAAGTTTGGTCCCGATCGGTTCAGAAATAAAAATTTGTATTCGGAACATACGTACATACATACAGACAGACATACAGACAGACAGACAAACAGACATTCAGCTTTATATATAAGATAATTAAATTTATTCTGAAAATGAGAGTAAAGGCTTTGTACAACAAAATCCTTTTTATCAAAATTTCGAAAAAATTTTTACTGAAAAATTTTACTGCAAAATTGGGTGTTCATTGAGACCCTTCCGTGCCGCGCAATACTCACAAGCAAACCTACAAATTACGCAGCAAGATTGCATACAGCTGTAGAAATAATGGGGCTTCCTCATTTCAAAGAAGAAAGATTGAAGAAGTTTAAAAGTGGCAATTTTTGAACCAGATGTTAGGCTGTTAGGAAAATAATGTCCCTCTTTATTGTTTGCTTCAGCGAAACAAGCAGTTTCACCCCAGGAAAGGGCAAGGGGTACTGTTCGATAAAGCAAAGCAAATCCTACGAAATGGTTTTTATGTTTTCGCGACATATTACATCAACGGAAAGTTTGAACTCAATCTAAAGAGTGCCAAATGTCCAAAATTGGGAGAAGATCAATCTTGGTTCAAAAAAGTTCTAGGAACCTCCCACTTGCATGCGTCTACTTTTTGATATTTGGCATTCATATGCGCAGTTGTTGCATTTTTTGATTGACTAAAAACTGAGAAAAACGAAAATTTGCGTGCTTTTCTTAAGGTAATGGTGAGCCATCTCATAAGTAAATCTATCCCAAAGCACAAACAAGTAAAGGCTGCTGCATGACGAAGGCACAATACCTTTGGGCGCATTCGCGGCTTTATTAGCCGCAGAGCACATGAGGCGCAGGATTTACAGCAGTGAGGATACGCGCTCCCCGCATTAGCGCCCACTCAAGTAATACTACTTCTGCGCCTTCGTCATGCAGCAGCCTTTACAACTGTGGATTTTCGGCCTATTATAAGCGACAGTTTTTGAGAGAAAAGAAAAACTTGAACATCAACTTGGATGTTATAGATACAATAAATAAGCAGACGATTTGTACCAGCATAAAGAACCGACTTATCTCAGTTACTTATGGCACACGCTATGCGTCTCGCAAACTTTTCATAAACTTGTAATAGATGTTCTGCCAACTCTGAGACATCAAAAAAGCTCCACTTTTTTGGATACCTTGCGGTCGATTGCGAGTCGTTCCGTTCGGCGATTCCCGTGCCCAAAGGTTGTACTTTTCCAAGTAGAGATTCCACAAAGTATTCTTGCAACTCTCCTAAGCCGATAGACAAGCTTCCCAAAACTCAATCCTTTTTCTATTGGCACCGACTTTCGTATTTAAAACGTTCACAGCAAAATCGTAAAAGGATTTCCTCTTGTCAAGAAAGACTCCCCTTACATCTTCATAGAAAGCATGCACTTCTGATTCATCAGCTACTGATTTTGGTAAGCAGCAGTAGGTGATGCTTATGGCCTTCTGACTTGGAGAGCTGTGACGAAGATAGCCAAATTGGTAGGTTGTATACGCATTAAGAAGATGGACGATAGCTGGGAGGACGGCAAAACCAACTTTTTTAGAGTTTTGTGACAGAACTTTTTCAACACCAATGAGAGGCATCTTCACTACTCTCGCAATTTCTTCTTTATGATCCTCGCTTCCTGCAAAGCGCTTGCAAAGAGCGCAATGGTCAATGCTCGACGCAACTGTATCAGCTTTTCAAGAAAAGAGCATGAGGAGGTCCCCTAGAGAGTTGTGACTTGTCGTTTGATCGTTTCAAGTTGCGTTCTAAGCAATCCTGGCATCAGTCTTGTTATTACTCAGCTGCTTGAGTAAAATCCGATTGATGCCTTTTGGGTTTTCTTCAAATATTGCTGAAGTAACGGAGTTTTGCCTCGCAAGGGCTGACGAGATAGTGCTTTTTTATCAACAGACGATCTCCGATTAGAATAAAATGAGAGACTGCCAGCAACATTTACAGTTTTATTGTATTTGATCTTACATGGTAGATGTTGTAATTGTAGGATTGTGTACTACTTAGTGTGAATGTGAATTTGAATTTGAATTTGTAAGTTAAGAAAAATCGTGTTCAAGGACTTCGCTCGTGGCGCTTGAGCGTCTTGGTCGTGGTGGAGCAACGAATACCACAATTAGTCACCGCAGCCGTGATACTTTAACTCCGCTATTGTACACCGTGAGGAACAGTAGTCCACAGAACGGTGCCTAATTGGGGTATTGTACAAAAGCTTGCCCATGTATCTAAAAATTTTTGAGGGTCTTAGTCAGAATCAAGTAACTTGATTCCGACTAAGACCCTCAAAGGTCGAGGTCGACGTCAGGCGCAGGCCTTATGAATACGAAGAAAAACGACTCTTATAAACCCATCTAAACCTTCCTTTCTTCTCTTCACTCCAAAAAGGTTCAGCATGTCACATTCTGATCCTCATCAATCAAGTCACTGTCGAAAGAAATGGCGCACAATGCCACAAATACTGAGACAGCCTGACTTTCCACAGTTTTGAACCTTATTTTTATCGAATTCCAGAAATCTCGTAGATGCTCTGGATGTTCAAGGTAACGTGCTGCTTTTACTTTTCAATAGTGAACAAAGTGCACTCGAGTTTGAAAAAAATTTCGCAGCACCTTCAAGCTACTTTTTAAAGGTGATGTAAACATGTTTTCAAGCACAGATCAAGAAACAACTTTGCTGGAGAGTCGACTTACCTCTGAAACAATGTCAATCATGTTTCATAATGACGCTGCTTCACTGGCGTTAACGAAGGCTCAATTGTATAAATACCGATTGTTCGAAGGCACTGAGACAGACAATGTGGCAAGCTCTTTATGAAATTACCTCACATGTTGTGTGACCTATCTCGCGTGCTTACGTTGGCGTAGGCTAAGAACAATTTTTGGAGTTTAGCCGCGTAATACTGTCAGTTGGCAGGTTTTGCTTACCGTTCCTTTTTATCCGTTCCAAAATTCAAATCTGCGGCTACGGCGATGAAAAAATAAAATGTAACTTTCTTATGTTTTCCTTCTTGTACTCATTCGTAATTCTTTGCCCTTAACGATAATTCTGTCCGTGCCTTCGATTACGACACTTTTCGATAACCTCAAGCTTGATCTTGATTTTGATGCATTTGAATATGTACACTAATTTCACGCGTATAAGGCGCACTTTTTCGAATTTTCAAGCGAGCCGCTTAGCCGCTTCACTTTATTCCGGAAAGAAATCCTTACATCGCACGATTGTCTCAAGCAATAGACAGCACGTTATAGGGTCCTTTGGTTGTAAAGACCTTTGGCGTGTCTGGGCTGGTCGATTTTGGAAAAAACTCCCCCGCGCCTTACACCCGTGTAGGGTACTCTCAAAAGTTTTCGTTTGTTTCCTTCATGAACAAGCTGGCAATTTGCATCCTCTTGCCAAGTCGGTATCTGAAAGGCCCTCAGGAAGTTAAGTCAAAACCACTCAAAATATATTAGGGTGATCCAAATGTAATGGGGCACCTTGATTTTTTGAACATTCTTCAAGATCGCTTTCTGATTAGCTATAGACAATCAGCAATTCGAACGCTTTTGAGCAAGGCCTAAGGCATACCTCGCGCGATTCCGGTCGCTGCGCAATTTGGCATAACAGCCACTCTTTGTAATTCGTCGTTAATGCGCTTCCTTTGGTCAGGACTTGACCCATTTGCAACAACTTACACAAGCTACCCGCCTATGCGTTCGAGAAGGCGCACGATAAATCTGTAGAAATCTGGCAAATCGCCAAGTCGCTTGAAAGCGGCGATTTGGCCGAATCGCGTCAGGTATGCCTTAGGCCTAAAGTGACTTTCGAAGATTCTTGACAGCACCTCACCGACATTCCTCCGAGCGGCGCTTCAAAGAAGTCAGACAGACTTTTTTGAAAGCCGTCCGAATTTGTGCCATCTGGCACACCATGCGAAAGAGCTTTTCAAACTCTTTCTAATGCTTGCTTTTCAGAAATTTCCCATTATCTTATACATAAAGCTGAACGTCTGTCTGTCTGTCTGCCTGCCTGTCTGTATGTGTGTCTGTACGTATGTTCCGAATAGAAAAATCCATTTCTGAACCGATCCGGACCAAACTTGGCACACATACACTTCGGGCCCCGGCGAGTGCCATGGGCTACTTTTCATCATCGATCGATATCGATTTTATCGATTTTTTTGCAAAATTTGAGCTACGGAGTTGGGAGTTGGCACAGGGGGGTAATCGAGCATGCTGATTACAACTATATTATTGACAGGGCCGGGCGGAGCCAGGTAAGCCATCTAGTTTCACATAAAAAGGCACTTTATTCAGAAAAAAGTGCGGTGTTAGGCGCAGATTTTCAGACTAAAATTTATGTTTTGGCCCACAATGTTTTGAAAATGAGAAAAGTCGAAGTTTGCATATGTGTGGATAGAGCGTAAAAAGCACTGTCAGAAAGCAACTGTTAAGGCTGAACTTATTTGATTACCTTGATGAAAGATCAAGTAATATGTCTCCTGATACCCAATGTTATATCTTCTGTTCAAGCTTTGGGACCACCACAAGAGCTACGTAGATTTGGTGACAGTCCCCTCAACCACTGCTGCGCAGATATCTTTGATAGGCTGCTCACTTGTTATACTGCGACGCTGCTGCTCAAAGCTAAAAATTGCTTGAAGTGATGAGCTTTAATATTAAGCGCTTATAAAAATCCATATGGCAGTGCCCAGCTATAGACCTCTACCAGAAAGTTTTGTTATGTACTAACATCTGCCAAAACTTGGACTTCCAATAAGCTTTTCTGAGAGAATTGCATTATTCTTTAGGTGCCCCATTACTTTTGAATCAGCCTAATACTTTTTTGCTAGAATGATGCTATAAGATCTGAGAACCTTTCTTGTCCCTACCCTTCTTAGCATTAATGTTTCCGTGTATACATGCACCTTTTTTCATCAGCTTGACCACACGCTAGTGTTTACAGAATTTGCCCGATCAAAGTCCGCCACACAAAACGAGTGTGCCGCTGAGAGGTAACTGGGAAAAGAAGCAGATATAAAGTCTGACTTTACTTACTTCTTGGTTCTCGATTTTTATGAAGCTCTTTTGTCTTTTATATCTTTCCAAATTTCAAAAGTCTGCCCTATGACATTGGAACAACTGCGCTGTTAAAGTTTGTCTAACAAGAGAAGGATACTTAATCGCACTAACGATTGGGTAAGCGGTGTATACCGCGTATACCGTCCCCAGACGGTGATCTCTAAGCCGCAATCCATATCTGCTATGACGTCATTCTGGAGGAGTTATAAAGGATTTTTGGTGCAGTGGATAGTGGCTTGGACTGCAGAGCTGGACGTCGTGGGTTCGATTTCTCTGGAAGGCCACTCGTTTTGCATTTTTGTAAATCTTAGCAGGCAGATTGGAAAACTTGTCCACATTTTAAAAAAGTTGATTTTTACAAATTAAAGCAATATATTTGCATTTATTGATACTGAAACACCGTATAACCTGAAAAACATTCGTTTTTACACGTTTTCAACACGTCATTGCTCACAATCTAGATTTTTGCTTGCACAGTAGGGACTCAATAATAAAGTTATTATTACTCATATACGCCCAATTTACTGCTCCCAGGTTTTCTAATTTTCTCAAGTATTCCTGGTTCGCTGCCGGATATTTTGATGAACACCCCGGTCCCTTCGAAACCCCGTCGCAGTTTTGCTTCGCTCAAGATTTGATGGGAGCATGTAGTGTAGACGGCTGCGAAGACATTCTTTTTATTCGTTGTGCACACTGTGAATGTGTTTTTTGTTTTGCACATTCTGTGCTTTCATATCATATGTGTTCATGAAGCCCTTTCAATGTAAAATTGAGTAAAGTTTTTAATGAAAAAGGCTAAAAGCGAGTGTGTTTTAGTTTAGACGGTGTTTCAGTGCCAATAAATGCAAATATATTGCTTTAAATTGTAAAAACCGACTTCTTTTAAATGTAGACAGGTTTTGCAATCTGCCTGCTAAGATTTATAAAAATGCAAAACGAGTGGCTTCCCAGAGTAATCGAACCCACGACGTCCAGGTCTGCAGTCCAAGCCACTATCCACTGCACAAAATATCCTTTATAACTCCTCCAGAATGACGTCATAGCAGATATGGATTGCGGTTTAGAGACTGTCTGGGGACGATATACGCGGTATACACCGCTTACCCAATCGTCGGTGCGATTAAGTATCCTCCCCTTGTAAGAATTCCTTATGCCAACTTTGGGTATCAGATTTCTGAAAGGATATTTCTCAGATAGTAGGATATCATTCTTATCAGTATCGCGGGCCTATGAATCAGAGAAGAAAAGGGACGCGGCTGCCGTTACGGCCTCGAACAGACTATAACGGAGCCAGCAGACTTTAAAAGTTTTATAAATCATTTCAGACTTTCAAGGAGTTGTTCGCAAAATTTCTAGTCCATACAAACCACTTTCAGTATTTCGCAAAGTATTTCTGAAGGAAGCTTGTAACCAGACGTTTTACAAGAGGGATTCGAACTAGCTCAACACATCGTTCAAATCGTAAGCAACTCACTATTATCTATATAAGTGCCATCAGCATATTGAAACCGTATGTAGTCCGTTTGTTCGCAGTTTACGGTAATCGGACACAGTGGCGGAGGACCATATGTAATCGCCTTAAAAGCATTTAATACGTTTCGATTATGTTTTCGAGGGTGTATACCTTACATAATATTCTCAAACTTTAAGAGTTTTTCCTCCAGCAGCAGGAGCGAGTTCCGTTAGTTTTAAAGTTTGCAGGAAAGCTATTCACCATTTCACTGCTCCAGCTTTTCGATGTTGCTGTTGGTTTTTACGATAAAAATTATTCAGTGCACTTTCTAATAAAATAAGAGGACTGCTATGGCATCTAGAACAAGTTTGTTTTGTAGCTTGCCACGACTGCGCAAGCTACAGATTAAGATTTTCCATACATTTTTGCCAAATCTACCGGGTTGTCCCATAAGTTCCGTCCGTTTTGATTGACCCGCAAAGACTCATACATTTCCTATTCCTAGATATTATTTGAGGAACTATTCGATAGAGCAAAGCGAGCTCTACAATATGGCGCTCTTAGTTCTGCACCAGCTTTATTCCTTCGCGAGTCTGAAGCCAGAAACCAAAAAGATTTATTTGCCCGAAAAATCAAGAAAAGATCTAACTCCGTCCAAAAACTCCTACAAAAATCCTAAGTTGTTCAGGCATGCATCTACATGAGACGTTTATGTATCGTTGCTGTATTTTTCCTTAGCTAGAACTTGACAGGACTAGAACTTTCATGCTTTTGCCAAAGTGATGCTGTACTGTTCCCACATAAGTGACTGCATACTACAGCCCTTTAGGAGTCCAAATGTAAATTTTCCGCTTTCTACAAGCTTTAGTTCTCGAGAAACA